TAGGTCCTTCTGTAGCAGTTGTAGGATTGACTTTTGTGAGAATATCTTCCCGCTGAACAATCAATATGTCATATTTAGCTGGATACGTGAATGAAGCAGCAGGGCCAGATGGATGCAGAAATTTAATTTCTGCCTCATTTCTTTCCTTCATCTTATGAAGAGCATAATCAAGCCACCATTTCCCATCATATTTACAAGTGATGTAGCCATTTATGCTTTCCCATGAAAGAAGCTCATGTGGCTGTACTTGAACAACTGAAACCTGCCTTTTATCGTAAGCCCTGGAGTACTCTTTTGTGATAAGCTCAGTTGTAGAGCCTTCCACTGGGATGAATGCATGGAGCTTTTGCGTTTCTTCTATTCTTTTGCTTTTCAAAAACCGTTTGGATAAAAATTTCTCTTTATCTTTCACTTCCAAATTCCTCTTCAGAAACAAACTCAAAAACTACATTCCTGATGTTTTCCTTTGCCCAATAAAAGAGTCGCTTTGGTGTTTGAATTTGTTCATCATATGGACGTTGGAGGCTTGCCCTTGCTGCAAGACGCTTGATTGTCCCCCCAACACCATCACAAGTTCCTTTTCCATGTGATGTCGCAAAAAATGCCATTCACCAGATATTCCAAAGTCTTCTTTATGGAATGCTAAGTTCACAAAGCTCTTTCTGTTCTTATACTGGGAAGCAGCACCATCCAAGAAATAGATTACCCTTTTCATGCAAGGAATGGCATCCTTTAAATGCTTCATCAATCAGGGGCGGATCCAGCGTCTGCGTTTGGGGAGGGCCATTTATGAAAGAAGAGGAGGCCTGCGAAAATTTCACAGACACGCCCTTCAAAGTCTCACCGAACGCGGGAAACGCCCCTTTCTATCAAAAAATTTCATAAGAAGGTACACTCTCAGAACACTGAAAATTAAGAAACTTCATTGCTGCGAGAAACTTCCAAGCAAAGTAAAGGCTAAAATACATGATGAAAAATTGATGAACTTTGGCTAATCGTGTAAACACGCGCTTCTTTAGTTAAACTGATGAAAAACGGATATAGAAATAACTTTGGGGAAAACTGACATAAAAAACTGATCGTGTATTTCAGCCTTTACAAATATTCATATTGAATATTTGGTCAGCAGCTTTCGCGCTTGACTTGGGAGGGGAACTATGACGCATCAGAGTTCGTGAATGACATTATAATTCCTGTGTTCAAGAAGCCGGCATAAGACACGTACCCTTAAGATGAAAAAAAGATTTAGAAAATGAGCAAAAGTCCCCACGTATTTGGTGCGTATAATTTGAATGGTAAATTTTCAAAATGGGTAGTCACCAAAAATTCATCGCAGCATAACAGGCAAAGCTGAGTAGTTATAGGTACTGTTTTGCTTTTGTTGGAAATAGTGACGCTTTTTGGGTATCACAATCGCAATAACACGATGAACAATGTTTGAACTGTAACCCATTTTAGCCATAACTTTCTCAACCATTAACATTTGCAGACGTCATTCATTCATGATCGCAGTCATGATTTGTGTTAAACCATAGTCCATATGAGCCGCGAGATCCGGTCACATCTAATTTTGCATTGAACTATTGTTTTAGGCTTATCATAATTCTTGTGTTACACATCCACTTGCAACTTATTGCCTCACTGAAAGCGAGAGAATAAAGCCGACTGGAGGTTTGATTAAAATGTCTGGTCCGCCAAAGAAATCAAGAACTCTTGAATCATTCTTCTCAAAAAGTAGCCGCACCAGTTCAGTTGGAGATAACCCTGAAATCTCTAAAACATGTGAAACTACCACTTGCCAAGAATTTGAATCAAAATCTACTGGTGAAGAATTCGACACACAAAGCCAAGTTGCGGTAGTCCAGGATTGTCCTGAAGAGGAAACACACCCAGACCTCTGTTGTATGGCGACACAAGTAAATGTTGCAATATCTGATAGATATGACATTGGTAGAGCTATAATGAAAACAAAATGAGGAGAACAGCTGACAGATAACGAAAGGGAAGCATATTTATCGAAGAGGTGGGTGCCGCAGAGAAGGGATGAATATCCATTTTCTGAAAAGAAAAAACCAAAGAATCAGCTCATGGTTGGTATGTCCTCGACAACGAAGCGTTTTCTGGGTGAAAATCACTTGAAAACCTTCCCCTGGCTAGCTGTCAGCAGAGAGCCAAAATGTTGCGGTGCTTGGTGTGTGTATTGCGTTTTATTCAAGACGTGCGAGAGTGGAGGTGGAAGAGGTGCACAATACGGAGGTGGAGCAGGCCAGTCAATGGGCAAACTTGTTAACAAGCCTCTTGTAAACTTTTCAGACTTGACAGGGAAAAATGGAGCCCTCACAAGTCACCAAGAAACATCTTTTCATAAGACATGTGCCATAAAGTACACGGAGTTCTTGAGCCGTGCAACACCTGGGAGTGAGAAGGACGTTCGATCAATAATGAACATTGAAAGGCAGAAAGAGATTGAAAGGAACAGGACTGCGCTGGTTCCCATCATCGACACCCTTCTAACATGCGCCAGGCAAAATATTGCGCTTAGAGGCCATCGTGATGATGGACCAGTAGATTCAACTGGGATGGAACCCAAGCACAATGATGGAAACTTCAGGGCATTGCTGCGATTGAGAGTACGGGGAGGAGATACAAACTTGAAAGATCACTTGAAATCTTGCAAACGCAATGCTTCTTTGGTAAGCAAAACGATACAAAACGAGCTAATTGCCTGTGCAGGAAATATTGTCAAAGAGGACATAGTAAGAGATGTAAAAAATGCAAAATTCTGAACAATAATGGCCGACGAAACCCAAGATTGTGCGAAACGAGAACAGTTGGTCATTGCAATTCGTTACGTTGACACAAAAAATGTGCCAAAAATTATCAAAGAAGAACCGGTCGCAATTTTAGACCTGATTGCAGACATAAAAAGCAGTGACCAATCAGATGAAACAGAGCACAATGAAATTAAGCTATGTGGCAAGGCAATAGGGGAGACTCTACTCCGCCATATAAGTGAGCTTGGGTTGGATTTGCAGTACCTCGTTGGTCAAGGATATGATGGTGCTGCATCGATGTCCAGTGAGCGAGTTGGTGTTTGCTCCTTTATCAAATCTGCTGCGCCACTCGCTGACTACTTCCACTGCTGCATGCACGCGCTAAATCTAAGTTGTTCTCGAGCCGCAAAGATACCAGCAATCAGACATTGCATGGATGACATCAAAGATATCAACAAATTCTTCAAGCATGCGAAAAGAAACAGCTATTTGCAAGCAGTCATAGCACGAGAATCAATTGAAGAGCTTCAGCGACGGCAGTTGGTGACCCTCTGTGAAACAAGATTTGTCGAAAGACATGAATCAGTTTTGGTTGCACGACAGCTTTTGCCTTACATCGTTGTGTGCTTGGAGGAAATGCTCGCTTGGGACTCATTAGATACAAGAAAAGATGCCAGGAGATTGTTAAAAAGTTTGCAAGACCCTCAGTTCCTTGTAGCGCTAGTATTGGCCGAGAAAGTGTCTGCTGTACTTCGCCCAGTGTCCTGTTCTTTGCAACAAATTGGTAGCGATCTTGTGAAAGCAATGTCGACGATTTCTGCGACACAGTCAAAGCTTTACACGTGGCGTAAAGGTGAAGAAAATGAGTTTGCTTCGATGTTTGAAGAGGCAATGCTTCTTGGCGAAAATATTGGAGTGACCAGAGAAGAGATGCACGCAATTCCTCGAGCAGTCAGTCAATCCAGGTTCAGATCAAATGCAGGTGAAGCCAATCAAAAAGCCATTGATTATTATCGTATCAATGTGTTTTTACCTCTTCTTGATGAAGTGGCTGGAGATATGAAAGCAAGATTTGGTCCCCATCAGCAGAAGATTGCGACGCTTACAAGAATTCTGCCTTGTTTCGTCAAAGAATCAACTTGGCAAGATATTTTGCCTGCAGCACTAAAATACGGAGTCTTTTTAGACCCCTTGTCCATTGTTGAAGGAGAGTATGAAATTTGGAAGCAGCAATGGCTGTCACGTGGAACAAGTACAGTAGCAAATACCGCTATCGGCGCTTTAGGCGACTGCCAAGGTGATGTATTTCCTAATTTGCATACATTACTCAACATTCTCACTGTGCTACCGGTGACAACAGCAGAACCCGAACGACTATTTTCTAAACTGAATAGTACCCTGACAGCAATTCGGTCAACAATGTCTGAGGAGAGATTAGAATCCCTACTTCTTCTGCAAGTTCACCGTGACAGAACACCAACGAGCGATAAACTCATTGACTCATTCGCAGCATTAAAATCAAGACGAATCCCATTAAAGCTGTAAGTAGTTAAAAGATGGACAAAATGACGTTGCTATTATATCGCAATACTCAACATTGAAACACACCACTTCTCGCGCAAAATGAGCTCGCATGTAGCTTTTCGTTTCAAAGGCAAAATCTCCGATAACGTTTTTGCTACGATATAGCTACTTCCTTTTCAAATTCTTTTCTGAATATATTGACATCAGTTGGGATCACTGATTTCCACAAAATTACTCAATCAAAGCTCTCATGTTTCTATGCTCGCAGTTAGTGTTCTCATGTAATGTAATAAGTAATTTTGGTTTGTTAGTTATATAAACAACTAGTTTCTTGTTATGCAAAAACTTTTACCTTATCAATTTACATGTTTAGTTAATGTATTTACTGTCTTTTCATTCAAAGTTTCTCGTTGTCGAATCGTTTGGGGGGGGCCATGGCCCCCCCCGGCCCCCCCTGTAGATCCGCCAATGTCATCAATTTGTCCTGAAACGTATACACTGCAACTGTGTCATGCTTTAAGCAATCTAAAATAATAACATAACTTAAATGCTCAATTTTGTCTGATTTATCATCAGCAGGCTTGTAGTAAGTCACAAAAGGATGAATAGTTGCCTGGCTGTTGTTCCAATGGAACCCTTGAGCAGCATCTTGCATTACAAATGAATAATTCTCTGCAAAATCACCAATTACTAGTAAGTGTCCTTGCTCCAACTGCATTTTCATTTCCTTTAAAAAATAAGATCGTTCCTGTGCTATGAATGCGTGTCTTTGAAGCTTCATCAGATAATCAATTAGATTATTTACAAACTCATCTGTAGGCTTTGTAATTGTTTCCAGGTTAGTACGGTCAACAGTAACCCAGGACCTGTAGGTTATTTCATCGACATCTTCATTTTCAAACGCTTCAGCAAGTTCTTCTCTTAGTTCTTGCATTTTCCCACAAGTGCTAGAAGAGCCCAATAAACAGTTTGGCTGTGGCGGATCACATGCTAATCTGAATAATAAATGAGTGTAATCTAACTTCCCATTAAAGTCTTCACCAACTATGCTCTTGAATAAACGATTTACCGATTACTAGCGCCATTTTGAAATGAGGGAAAATTTCACTCGCCCCAAGCCCCTGAACAAAAACAAAATTTTACCAATTTTCAACCCTCCGATTTTACACCAAAACAAAGCTACTTTTACCTAAATTTTAGTGCAAAGTAATATTTAATCACTAAAGTATGTAATAAATACTTACTTACAACGATTTATTTTGTTTTTTGATCTTCCACTGCCATAATTGACGACGAGGTACAAACATCCTAAATTCATGGTGTTCCCTTTGATCGGGAATATTTTTTGGCCACGTAGGCCCAGAACGTCCAGAATTTCAGAACATGCAATTTGTTGTGCTCTGATGCACTGGTTGTACTACTCTATCAATAAAACCAGCAGCCACTGTCTCTGACTCAATAAATAGGTGTGTATCAAACACAAGATGTGTATATATGGACATATAGGTTCTTAGAAATCTACTTTGCGAGGGCATCTTTTGAGAACTTAAAAACATGGAAAAATTAACATCATCGAGGAACGGAAAATGAATATCAAATTTTATGATAAACTGAAATATCAAATCTGAAGACCCGCTTCAGGAAATCTACAGAAGGTTGCAGTGGCATATGACATGCATGCATGAAAATCCCCCAACCTGACAACAAATCGTTTTATATAGTCTTCAGACTTCCATGGAACTTGTTGTACAGCTTCATCAAAGGCTAACACAGAGCAATAAATATCCAACTTCATCATTATGTCTGATCTTCTGGTCAATATTCCTTTGATAGTGGACATATCTGTGACTGGGGCATCAATAACGGGTAGATATGCAAAACGAGACACCCTAGGTGGCTTTCTGAAATTATTGAATCAAAAATAGTCCAACCTGGGAGTAAACTGTTCTCTTTACTTCCTATTTCTTTGCAGGAAATTTATGAAAAGTCTATTATTTGACTTTGAAGATAGAGACATTGATGCTCGGAGAGTTCTATGTCAATGCTAGTTGCCACTGAATATAAATTTGGTGACTCTTTCTTGCCTAGATAGTATGCATAAATTTGTTGTGTACTTGCTTCACTACAACAAATTGCTTCATAAAACAAATTGACATTTTTGATGGAACACGCACTTTTCCGAACATAGGAGACCGCGCTCATCTGGAATCTCTCTGTTGCTGAATTACGATTCCATTTGTCATATGCGTATGTTCCAAATCAGTGCTGTATTCTTCTCAAAAATCGCATGTTGTCCGAAAACAATTGTGTCAGAGTATTTTTACAAATGCCCTTTTGGATATACACAAATCACTGTTACTGTTTGATATGCTTAAAGCAGTATCTATGACAAAACTGCTAAATGGAAAGCAGCAATTCCCAAAACACCCATTCACTATCTTGTCAGGTCTTGAGCCCTCTGCATTTGACCTCAACATTGATTCTAAGCCTAGGCTTAACAGTGTCTGCTTCTTGAAGCTAACATATATTATGTCTTGGCAATTGAAAGGACTTGCAACTGATCTTTTTTCAGCGAATCCTTCTATATTGCACAATTTCACCTCCTGAATCATCAATTCATCCGAATATTAGGGCCCCTGCCAAAAAATTGGAAGCTTGGCAGGAATTTTTACTTCTTGCAATTCACTTAACTAAATTCATGCAATTATTCGGGCGGACCAATGGAGGTGAAAGATTTTGGACATCTCAGTACTGTAATTGTTCGAATAATAAAGTGCTGCACTAGAACAAGGATTCTACATAATCTTATGAATTTGATATTCTAAATGAGATACAATCATACCGTTCACTGCTCATCCAATCTCATTTGTTGTAATTGTACTATCTTCAATTACTGACCAAACAGAAAGATCCTCACAGAATATAATTTCACTTTTGTTCCTGTGACCAGGTGTATGAAAAATAAGCTGAGGAAAGCGGTTTTTCAACCTCTGTTTGACTCGAAAGGCTCTATAATTAGATGCCTCTTTACCTTTTACAGTTTAGAGATCTATTTAAATTCATGTTACAGTTTAGTCATGAACATAGCCTCTTTGTCGCTGATAATTTTCTTTTGAACAATCTGGTCGCACGTTTTTCCAAATGACACATTGTAAAGTTGTACTGGTGGCTGATCATTGACTTTAAAATTTGAGAAATTGATATAACTCATATAGCAATTTATGTGGTAACATGCTTCAGCAGCCACAGTCAACATCCCTAATATAGATAAGATTCGATTCATTCTTTTTCTTTTCTGCAGCTAGCTTCAATTTCCCGGCATTAATTGTTTGCCACCCAGTCAATGCCTGCTTTTTCCTTGTCTTTGTTTTCTGTGAAGTAAAATGTAAGTCTACATTTATACATGTGTTAAAGACCTTTAGACATTTATGTGATCGATAATATGTAAACCAATGTGAATAGTACTAATTCAGGCACCAAATCTACTGTCATCCTGAGAGATATCTCCCATGAAAGAATTTTTAATGAAATTTTTGAGATATTGAGGCACCTTACAGCAATATCTTTCATCTGACCAATCAACAGAAGCCATTGTGACTATCATTCTGTGAGTTATTGTCCCGGACATTGTTATATTGTAACTGGTGTAAATGGACCAAAAGTTTGTTTGCTAGAGGATTTGTGAAAGGTATTCAGGTTAAGATTTCAAAGATGCCAAAGCCAACACACTCAGTTACCAGTTTAAGGCAGTTCTATAATTCATTAATGGGTGATATACGCTCACTTGAAGCCCTGAAGATCAACGTTACTGCTTGTGCCCCCTTTATTATTCCTAAGCATAGGGCTCAAATCTTGATTGGCTGAGAGCTTGCGCTAAGTCACGTGGTCTCTCTCGCCGCTAAGCCAATCACGGTCCTGGAAAGTGTAAACAAACTTAGGCCAAAGCCGAAAATTGGGCATTTTTACCACCCTCCGTTAAAAAAATAACGTGTAAAATCTGCTGCGATAAATTTCAAATTTTTTTAACTACAGCCCTACACAGATAAATTTCCCACAAATCTACCGTGGAACATGACCCCGATTTTTAATTGTTTAGAAAATACAGCATCTCAAACCTAGCCAGCAGAAACATTTATATTGAAGGAGATTGTAATGAATGAATTAACAGTCAAAAACAACAGATTAACAAGAAAACTCAAATTTTAATTATTCTTGTTTTTTCACAATTCACAAACCATGTTTACTTCAACTTTATACCTGGGACTTTTGATGAAAAACGATTTCATTCATGACTATCGCTTAGGCCGACGCAACAAAATCAGTAACTGGTAGCTCTCCGCAGATTTCGGAATTCAATTTTTTTTATTCTATGTGGTAAAATCTTGTAAGTGGTCAGGAAATTATATTTAATGGCAGTGCTAGTGCCCGAAGCGTTGACGTCCACATTATCCGGGTCACAGAATAGAAATGTCACTTCTGTTCTGTTTCCGGGTTATGGTATGTTCCGGAATGCTCAACATGACATGTGCTTTGCACTCGACTGACTCGAACTTGAACAGCCGCGATGTGCATCCATTCTTGCTGTTCGTGTACTTTAGAACGCAGTAAGTTTCTTTAATTTCTATGGCATGATGCAACCTTATAAGATATTAGCACTTTGGCTAAAGTTTGCTAACACAAATGATAAAATTCATTTTTTGCAAGAAGTTATCTTAAGCACGTGTTTTAGCTCTTAGGCCAACATGCTATGTCATCTTATTGGATTGTTCTTTAGTTCAAGATCTTGCATCGGAGTGCCGCTAAAAAGAAATTTAATACACTCATAAAAACTTTTTCCACTCAGTTTGATGATTTTTAAAACATTTGGTCACCATTTACTATTCCAATCTGGTTAGCAGTATGTGTGTGTCACTCGGTAGGTAGAAGCTAAGCTGGTTAATTGGTGGTTTTTAAAAAAATCGTTTGATTTGTGATCCCAGGATTTCTGAAAACGTTAAGCTTCTGGTCCTGGAATAAGGCCCCATGTAAATATCTCTCTTTTTAACTCGAGGAAGGCGTCAGCAATGGTTGCGGGATCACAGCCTTTTTCGTCGGTAGTAAACTCTTCCTCACCATCGTCACCCTTTTCTTTATCATCGTTATCGCGATCACCAACAATTGGCACCGAGTCTGGATTGAGAATGGATGCTGATGCAGCTTCAGATAAAACTTTGATCGCATCAACCAACTTATCTTTGCAAATGCCAGGGCCAGAAGGAAAGCATTCCGGATGAAAGGAGTGCCCACAACCATGGAGAATTTTCATGCTTGTATTGATGGATGGTTGCACACAATTAGGTAGGTCGCATCGCCTTAAAACGGAGAGAATAAAAAAATTGCATGTTTTGTTTGAAATTTTAACAATTGTGAACTATAATGATACAGTTGATCTACGAAGAAAAATAATTGTTTGTAATTTGTTCATAGGTTAAAATTTCAAAAGCCTAAGAAGTTCCATTTTTCTACTGTATTCTATTTTTGGCACAGGTAAACATTGAGTGTAAAATATACATTTTGGATACATAAGGGCATATTTAATGTTCTGGGGCTGGGGCCATTAGATTAGAAAGTCTCTCAGCAGCAAGTAAGTTATTTTCCTCAAAGGAGTAAAGGATATGACATAAATCATTTATATTATATGAGCAAATGTTATAATATACCGAATTACATTATATATATATGCACTTTTTTTTAACATGAACATAAGAACATGAGTTTCAAGATTGGTCAAAAGCTAAAAATAAATTAGGAACAAGCTGAGGCTGAGCTACTGTTAGATGCAATTTTGAGCAATGTTTTATCTAAAATAATGATGGTTTTTGGTCATTTGTGTGCTTTTTCAGTGATGAAAGAGGAAATTTACTGGTTCTTATCAAAAAGAGTGTACCTGCTTGGATTTGGTTCCTTGTTGAGAAACTGGAATCCAAGCGGAAGGACCTTGGATGCTACAACTGTGTCTTCTCCATAAAGTACAGGCAGTTTCCAGTATGTCATATTTTTTGCTTTCCTAGCTGGTCGAGGCACCTGATATCCAGAATTGGGATTTTGGGCAATTTGCTTCAAAATGCTGCAAATGAATTTGGCGGCATCCAATTTAATTCTTTCCAGTTTTGATCTGCTGAAGGTGTATTTTTTTGGAACTTCAAAAACAGATGAAAATTTTGCTGAAGTGGCTTTGGTGTTGTCAAATGCTCTTGCTTTTTGGCGCAGAAGATCACCACTGTCGCTATGGCTTGACTGAGCTCGCAGTATGGAATGGAAATTTTCCACAGGGTACTCATCAAATACTCATCATTAAGATTTGTCATCAGTGTGTTGAAAAGAGGATGATCTTGATTCTTCTAATGCATGAAATTGCTCAGCCAAATTAATGGTGCCTTATTGTAGTGGTGTCGTTTATAGCAAAAGAACATTATCCAACACCTGAGAAGTGATGTGGCATACTCCTCTGTGTTTTGCCTTTTAAAGATGACAGAATAGCTAGAAAGGACAACAGGAAGATAATTATCTAACAGATTTAAAAGGGCTAAGTACTGTAGGTCTTTGCAGTTTGAGAAAGCTACAGTAACTTGCTCTCTGATTGATGTCCAACCACCATAAAGTATCGATTAAAGAAATTCGGTTTTGGTTTATTTGAAAGGTGTTTCCTAGCACCAAAGATGAAGGAAAAGGCCTTTTTGAAAAACTCGATATTGAGTAGACAAACAGATTCTCTTGCATTTAGTTGAATGTGCAAGGGACCAATGAAAGGAACAATATTTTGTAAAGACAAAGGAGCAAAACTGGGGAGGTTATATTGAACCTGTCTCATGAAGAACTGTGCTGGCCAATCACCTACAAAAGGGCACACAAAGGAAGAAAGATAAAGGTGGAGACCCTGGTTTACTGCATGAGTTGCAGCATCAAGAAAGTTTTGAAAGCTCTTAAGTGGAAGCTCAAGCTCATCAATTAGTCTACAGTCTTTCATCTGTCTAATTGTCTTGCAAGATTGCTGTTCTTGATAATCATGCTCCTTTGGAAAAAGGGACACATTGATAATGTACACTTAGGAAGAATTAATTTTGTCTAATGTTATTTTAGATTTCAAAGCAGTTTTCTTAGGCCTTCAAAGTGCTTGGAAGGTTGGCTAGCAACCCATGTTGTTACATTACCATACCAATAATGAGAAAAAATGTATTAAGGTGTATAATTGCTCTCTTTTCTGTCAATGATTTCTTGGTAGTATCAGATTTATTTTTATAAGCATTGTTAAAATGTATATGAAACATGTTATGTTGATATGTATTCAAGTTAAATAAAGATAATATATATCTGCAAAAAAACTGTTGTCTAACCTCCATTCGTTTTCTTTCCATCTCAGGGTCAAAGAAGGTGGTTCGGATCCAGTGTGGCATGACAGAGGCATAAGTACTTGATAAGTTAGAGATGTTTTCTGACAGAATTTGTTCCAAGAGAGCAGAGTCGACAACCTTTGGATTTGTTGTTGGAAAAAGAGATGGAATGGCTGGAACACCCTGAAATCTCTTCAAGAGAATAGTTGCCATACTAATTGCAGTGGAGGTTTCAGCATCATTAGGGCGGCTCTTTGTGTGAATATTTGTATAGTCATCTATCATAAGAACCAGGAGATCTTTGTTTTCAACAGCTTCAGATACAAATGTTGAAACAGCTTTATCATGGTTGAATGACAGTTTCACCCGTTCTCTCTTTTGAGTTGATTTGGAGACACTCACTCCACTTTTATTGAGAATGGAGAGTCCTGTCTCACTTATCCCTTTTCCTACTACTCGTTGGGATAGTACTTTTTGGAACCAGCTTGCTTTTTGTGACTGGCCAAAGACAAGCATATAGAGTGCAGCAACAACCTTCTTCTCATTCTGAAGCAGTTTACTTGGTGTCTGTTCTTGGACCGACATGGCTTCTAGAAGGGTTTGGAAAATGCTGGTTGCTCCTGCATCTTGGCACATTACCTTGACAGCCTCTGGGTCAAAAGGTGGTTGCTGATCATTGTGGCCATACTTTGACCACAACAGTTCTCTAAAAAGGGTCACCTCATGCTGTAGGTCGATGCTCCTGGAAAGAAGTGCCTTCATCTGTGGCAGGAAATATGCAGGCACGTACACAAATTCACTACCCACATCAACATGTCCTAGTCCAACAATATCATCAGTTATGATTTCTGATGTAGGGACATACTTGACAAGGCTTGTTGGAATCAATGAAAACTTCTGGCCATTAATCACAGTTTCCTCAAAACATGGCACAGAAGTCTCATCCTGCTCATCTGGTATTTTTTCCAGGCCCGTGTTTGTTGTTGCAGTGCTGTCCTGAGATGATGAGCTCTCTGAAGAAGCGAACTCAGATACAATTTCCTGCAACTGAAGAAGCATACCTGTTTTAGACTTAAACTGACACTGTGATAATCTGTAGTTTTAAGTTGATAATGAATTAAAGATAATCAACTGCATTCAACTTTTTATTGTTTTCTTGTGAAAAACTATGAGATAAGGAATTACAAACTAAATATGTTTATATGGAATTACTAAATTCTGTTGATTTCTCTAAAAATTAATCTCAGAAAAGCTTGTGACTTGTAACATATGGGTTATTGAAGAGTAATAGACGTTTCCGTTCTTGTATAGATGGACACGCCCCCTTTTACAAAGTGTTTGCTTTTTTTCTATATTCAGTCTCAACATAGGTAATGATAAACAAATTTAACTCACCTTAGCATAAGACAAAAGTTCTGTAAAATTCGGGGGCAATTTTGCTGTAAAAGAGCGCTTCTTTGTGCAGGTAATGACGCAATCTGTACAAAACTTGTCGCTCAATTTTCTTTCATTGCGTTGGTCGAACGCTTTAAATAAAACACTACTTCTTCCAATCCTTGCGTGTAAGTTAACGAGGTGTTTGGAACGGCTGTTCCATTCGTCATGGTGTGCATTGGCACAAAGTTTTGAAAATCTTCCCATTTTGGTCGTTTATTTTTTTGTCAACTTAAAAAATTTAAGCAAGTAATTGGCAATAATTGCGTGACACAGGTCAAATTTTCCCGCCATTCGACGGGACCCAGACCCTTTGTAAATTGACCTGTTGTTCATATGTGAGTGATTTAGATACGTGCTCTCCACGAGGACAGAAACTGTTTTGTAGGGGTTGGAAACATTTAGATGTTGTTTTTTTTGGTGGAATTATTTTAAACGCGTGCATTTGTTGGAGGTAAGTGGACCAAACCATGGTTATGTCAGACTGATTTTGTTGCGTCGGCCTAAGCGATAGTCATGAATGAAATCGTTTTTCATCAAAATTCCCAGGTATAAAGTTGAAGTAAACATGGTTTGTGAATTGTGAAAAAACAAGAATAATTAAAATTTGAGTTTTCTTGTTAATCTGTTGTTTTTGACTGTTAATTCATTCATTACAATCTTCTTCAATATAAATGTTTCTGCTGGCTAGGTTTGAGACGCTGTATTTTCTAAACAATTAAAAATCGGGGTCATGTTCCACGGTAGATTTGTGGGAAATTTATCTGTGTAGGGCTGTAGTTAAAAAAATTTGAAATTTATCGCAGCAGATTTTACACGTTATTTTTTTAACGGAGGGTGGTAAAAATGCCCAATTTTCGGCTTTGGCCTAAGTTTGTTTACACTTTCCGGGACCGTGATTGGCTTAGCGGCAAGAGAGACCACATGACTTAGCGCAAGCTCTCAGCCAATCAAGATTTGAGCCCTATGCTTTATTCCTATAGTTGAAGAAGTTTGAGTTCTATTGGTGATTTTTTGGTGTAAATTTTCTTCTGAAACTATTCTAAAAGAGTAGATTACCCAGAAAGAGCAAACGGAAACAGGCTTTTCCCAATTTACTCAGTCACCCCTGTCACGTTATGACACATAGGAAGCAAATGTATCCAGTACAAGTACCTTATTGACAACAGTAAACACACGTTGCCAGCTTTACAAAGGTCCTCATTCGAAGTCACCCTGCACAATGCCTGTGGGTGAAAAGTCAGCCACCATTATTTGCCTAAATATTGCCTTAACTGTTGAACTCTAGGCATTGTGTTTCTAACTGTGGTTATTTTTGCTGCAGCTTTGGTAGTCAAGAAAAGGCAAAAAATACTGAAAAAAGGAAAAAGGGATCATTTTCAAACTTTTCGCATTATGAAACTTTCTTCCTAGACTGACGCTACATTGCATAATAATTTTCCGTACTTCAATGCATATATGAACTCATCTGTGTTTCAAACTTTCCTCATTTTGAAATCAATGCTGCACTGAAAAAATTTGCATCTTGCGCTAGGTTTTTAGCGTGGCATCAGCTTAAAACAAAAGAGTCTTTAGGAATAAATAGAAATCCCATTTGTTAAAAACTGACAAAATTGGACATGTTGAACTTCTTCAGTCAAAAACTGACGACCAATAATGCATCAGTTTTTGCTTAATACAATTTATACTCAAAAACTGTAAACAGTTAGTTAAAAACTGATCCTGTATTTCAGGCTTTAGAGTATATACATCACACAAAGTATCCATGAAATCCCTATTCATTCCAATACTTCAAACATGCCTTTCCAAAGAATACAACAACACAGTACAGACCCGATATCGCACTAGCACTCACGCTGCTATTGTCACGAATGACACATAAATATTATTCAGGGCTAAATACTTTAGGATACTATTTCAGCCAATAGAGAAATTATAATATCCATTGCGAAAATTGTTGTTCTCTTTGGATTCAATATGACTGTGACAATTTTCAGGCTCACCTAGATTTAAGAATTGATAGTGAAAATGTTGTTCTAAAGAGGCCTTTTTAAAATGCACCAAGAAATGCAACCTATTGGCCTAAGAAAACTCAAAACGAGTCAATTTCTTGTTGTGCTTATGTCATCAATGAGACCTTGTTTTGTTAGGGATCACCTTGAGCACGAAAGGCCTGTTACTCTCTATCCAGATATTTATAACTTTCTGTCATTTCATCCAAATGAGCTCTCCAGTAATGATCTCTCTGAATATAAACAGTCAAAGGGCTACAGTTTCTATTCGCAGGGTTGGCTATCACCATTACTTTTTCATCCCATTGCTGATGATAGTGAGTTCTGTTTTCTCAAGGGAAATTGCAGACCATCACAACGAATCAATGATACCCCACATAAACTGTGGATCTGTTTGGGGAAATGTAATGGGAAACATTGTCTCAACACACTGCTCATGCATGGCTGGACTGTCTCAGACATGCAATCATATTGTAGCAGCTCTTTTTAGGATTGAGGCTGTGAGCAGAATGGGACTTAATAATCCTTCTTGTTACCAATGGTTACCCAACAACAAAGTTGTTAAGCCAGTAAAGATAAAGGATTTAAAGTTGAAGAGGACCACTTTAGGAGGAATAGTTAAAAAGAAAGTTGAATTGAACTGCTCCTCCAAGAAGAATTTTGACCCTTTGGAGCATGTTGAATATAAGCTTAACCTGCAGGACATGGCAAAATCCCTTGAGACAGTCTGTAAAAGGTCTGAATATATTATGTTTAAAGCACTGCCAAAGAAAGAGTTACCAGCAACAGAGGTGCAAAATGCAAAGGTTATTCCATTCGAAGAACATTTTTACAATCTACCAATAGAGTTGATTTCTTGAACCATATAAAGGAGGTAAAAATGGAAGGTATAAGCACAATAGAGATATTAACCAGAGGACAGGCAGATAAGCAACATTCGCATTTCTTTAGAAAGCATGTTATCACTGGATCTAAGGGACATGATGTCAAAACTTGTATGGCCACTTTGAGAAAGGGGGATTCTAAGAGAGACTCATTGAGGAATATCTATTCCAAAATTGCTGGAGCCACAGATATAGTTGACCAACTGCCATCTCTAAAGTATAGAAGAGCAATGGAACCAGTTGCAATAGAATCCTTCAAGAAAGAGTTTGGAAAGCACTATAATCATGTGAAAATAACATCATGTGGGTTGTTCTTATGTCAAGACATGCCATTTGCTGGTGGAAGCCCTGACTATTGTTTCATGTCAATTCTGCGGGAGGGCATGCATAGAGGTGAAATGCCCTTTTTCAATCTGTCACACCACAGCTTATGATCCCAAAATAAAACTGCGCAATTCCACGCAGATCCCTTCTTCGACATTTGCACTTAGAACCGTAGCTAAAATTAGCAAACCACCAAACATAAGAAGGGAAATGTTAATCGTAAGAAGGATCTTCCTTGCAATACAGACAGTGATGATATTTTTTATTCTAATCTGTTGGATGCGTACATGGAACGCCCTCGACAGCTCGAAAACGTTTTATACGTTGACTGGGCTGAAAAATATTTATTAGACAGATCTAATAATAGTCGTCGATCTAATTTACAGCAGGATGATGACAGCTCAGATGAGGAAGACACGTCAGACGTACGTCCGGCAGTCCTTGTTGACTGAATGGGTAGAAGATGGAAACAGCGCAAGGTTGAAGCTGTTGCCCGGTGGAGATTCTACCTTCCGAATGGTGAAAACCAGGAGAACTACTACATGCAAAAGCCGGTGTTGAATCTGCCTTTGCGGAAAGAAACGCCTGTCATTTCTCCAAACAATGTGTCGAAAACAATGTGCCATTCGTAACCTGATTGAAGAGCGAGACGACGCCATGACTGCTCTCCAGGATGCCAGACAAAGAGGGTTCTCACTCGCTCGTCTGCGCAAGATGGCACAATCCTTATGTGACATGGACTGGATCGGTGAAGACGAATTCAATACGTTCATTGATGAGGTAACAACTGCCCATTGTGCCAATGCAGTCAAAGATGAAGAAGAAGTCACTGTTGCTGACTTCAATCCAGATCATGCAGATCTTGGTAACTTAAGGGTCAACAACATTCACATTGAATCTGTCATTTTTGCAGCATATGCAATTTGGAGGTAAGCACATCATTTTAATGGGTGATCCTGCACAACTTCCAGCCATTGAGCGTGACATATTTGATTCCTTCTTATGGAGGAAGTTCAGTATTGTGATGCTCAAGGATATAAAGCGTCATGATGATGAAACGTTTCAACATATGCTGTCAACTATACGTCTTCGTAAGACAAATTGTGAAATTGATGACATTCTGAGAACTAAAGTTGTTTCAATTGATGACATTGATGCTATTGATCTAGGCAATGCAGCCATTATTTGTTCCTTTAGAAGGGAGCGAAACCATTGGAATAGTATCTTTCTAGAAAAGCTTGATACAGAACTTTTTACATTTGATGCTACTGATTCACATGTAACAGGCAATCCTGTTTCAGAAGCTGTTATAAAAAAGTGACGCTCTTATCATAAAGAATGACTCGAGGACACCCTTACTCTGAAGGTGGTTGCAAGAGTTGTTCTTACTAAGAATATAGATGTTGAACACAGCTGGTTGAATGGTACAGCAATGGTGCAGAATCACAAAACTATACTACTGTTGAAAATGTGAAAACTGTCAGGAAAAAATGTGGCGACCAGGATGAAGCAGAATCTTTCATTCCCTGAAGCTGTAGTTCAGTATGTTTGTACCAAATTCCCTTGCTTCTAGGATAGGCATTGACCGTTCACAAAGTTCAGAGTATGACTCTAGAGAAAGCATACATATTGCTGAACAAGAACTTCTTTGCCAGCAGCCAGGTGTACGTTGCATTTTCAAAAGTCAAGTCGCTAGACAACCTTCACTTGCTCGACTACGATCAAGGAGCAGTGATTTTTAAACCATTCTACAGGGACTTGTTGGATTGGATGAAGAACCCCCTGATACGACCCCATGAAACGACCCCCTGAATCTCCTAAAGACAAAAAGAATTCGAATTCGATGGACAAACACCCGCCAGTGCCACCTGAAAATCCAAGAATCTGTAATGCGGGGCAGAAGGAGCCAGCGCAGAAAGGGCCAGCGCAGAAGGAGCCAGCACAGAAGGAGCCAGCGCAGAAGGAGCCAGGGCAGCAGGAGCTAGCACAGAAGAAGCCAGCACAGAGGAGCCAGTGCAGAAGGAGCCAGCGCAGAAGGAGCCAGGGCAGAAGGAACCAGCCAAACGTGGCCAGCACAGCAGTCAATATCAAGCAGGCAACCTTCTAAAACAAGAAATTCCAAAAAGGGAGCAGGGCGATCACCACCATCTTCAAGCTCTTCGGAATACTATAAAATTTTATTTACATGCACCAGTAGACATGTATTTATGACACAGTGCTCACTTTGATTCAATTAGTGATATATGGCGTGGCATTGATGTACTAATGTATATTCATCTTACTTTCCACACAGATCGATTACGGGCAACAAGAAATATTTCACCCTGTCGTTCAAGAGCACTTGCGAGCAGTGAAGACAGATGGTGATGGCAGCTGCCTATTTTATTCCATCTGGAAGCAGCTGTTCCATCATCCTGAAAAATTTAAATTGCAAGGTTTTTGAGACAAGTAGCTTTGTACCACATCTTCAAGCATGAGAAACATTCCAGACAGCTGCAACGTAAAGTCGGCTTTCACATACGAGGATTATGTGGACGAAATCAAAGGGTTGCATGCATTTTGTGGTGATATCGCCCTGCTGGCATTTGCTGACCCATATATTAGTTTTTCTGTTGAGAGGTACCAATATATATTACTTTTTGGATGCAAGTTTTGAAGAATTAGTTGATCATTTCAACATACATTCTTAGCAAACAATGCAACATTATCCTCCGTTTAGTGATAGTTATGATGGTGGCATGCCATTGACTGTCTTATTCAGTGGTACTCATTTTACAGCAGTACTAAAGCCAGAGCCACGCGAGGATTTAATTCAAATAACAAACCTGTTCAGCATTGGAGATGTTTTGGAAGCTGCAGTATAAAGTATAACAACTGAATCTTCCTTTCTTCTCAGTACTGTTACACCAACTTGAATTAATGCCAAAGAGTTTTTTCTTACCGAAATTTTGAAACACTTGCAAATTCTTGTTTTTCACCAATGGAATTTCAAAAAAGCAAGGAGCTCAGCCTTACTATTTTTCTTTCGCCCTCTACATCCAAGAAATTTTGGATCCATATGGGCTGAAATAATGCTTCTACTGGCTCTTTATAAATCGCACTAATTATTTCTTTCTAACGTTCCAGCGGTTCCAGTCGGACACTTCAATTTTCAACTCACGCTCGATCTAGAATTTCTGATTTTGATTGTTGATCTGAACTGTAAAGCTTTCAGTAAATATTCATCCATCAGTTTTAAAAAACAAAATAAAAAAGAATAACACTTGACTCTTATATGCAAGTTTTTTTATTTCATTCTTTACAACCAAAATTTACTGAAAGTGTCTTAATCAAAAGCAAAATCTCCCAACTAACACATCTAGATAAAAAATTTAGGTGCCACTTCACCTACCGACCAGCGATTTTATTAAGGATTTTGTGGACCAACTGACCAACAACCACCTCATGATGTATTTGGGGTGTCACATGCTCTATGCCCTCGCAAGATACACCTCTAGCTGCATGTGAAACTTAACAAATAATAATTGATGTGAGCGATATAAATTGATCAGTACACAAGAAAGAGAATGAAGTGATTAAGTTTTTATTTAAAATCAATTTGGGTTAGCTTTGCAGTTGGCTTTTACAGCATGAGATGTTGCTTCACTTGAAAGGCTATCAATGCCCTTTATTTTAGTATCAAAAGAGGCATACAGCTGAATTATATTGGCATCCCGAAATCCTTTGGTTGCCTTTTGGTCTGTTTCAGCCAGTTGTTTAACCAGTTCCATCTTGAAATTAAGGAATGTATATTTTTCTGTGGTGCTTTTCAGTTTCAGACCAAAATACAAATGCATTCCACAAAGCAAATCAATAAAATGAAAGAACAGTGTCTTCCAAAACTATTTAGTCCCATATTGCACAGAATACAATTGATACATTTGGTCTGAAAGATCAACTCCATTCATGTCATTATTGTAATCTCTGATACATTGTGGCATCATAATCTCAACCCTTCTATGATGAATACCATCTTTCAGATTTCTTCAAAATAGCCAAAGTAATTTGCAGAATGATCAGTTGAATAAATGGAAACAACATTCCTATCAATCCACTGAAGAAGTAAGACATCATGAGGACTTTCACCAATCCTTTCATACCTTACTGCTCCTCTCTCCTTATTTTTACACCATGCAGCCCTGTTTTTCATTGTTTCTAGAAAAGAGGATGTGTTTAGGTTCTCCTGGTAAGAGATTATGGTTTCAATTGCATGTAAGCCAACAGATGAAAGATATTAGAATAAAGGAATGCTTGTATAATAATTATCAACAAACAGTATGTAGCCCTTATTCTTCAAAGGCTCTGTCAGCTTGATAACAACTCTTGCTGCTACCTGCGACGATAAACCAGAAATCTCATCTGCCGCTGACGTGGACCTTTGTCTACCTAATGCTTCAGGTATTCCTTGAAGGTTGTCTACTTCACCGTGTAGTCATCCCAGCCGTCTCCTCTCTTTCTGCCAGTATTAACTACCATATCCCAACTGTAGCCAGTGGAAGACCTTAGTCTGCTAAAACCCATAATTTAAAACCCCAGTATATCACATTTTGTTGATCACAGCCTTAAAGATTGCAAGAATTGCACAATATCTTCTAAATGTTGGCAGAAACATTGACCATAACAATCCAGAAAATAGGATATCTTGACAATGCCCATATAAATTAGGTAGGCCAGAAACCTGCGAAACTCTATCAAATCAATTTTTCTCCATGCGAGCTCACCATGAGACAGTGTCGTGTAACTTTTGCCAATCTTTTCACCATGAACAGCATACAGGTTTGAATTAATTAATAGTTTGCATTAGCTGGAGAGGAGAGAACAGAAGAAAAAAAGTTCAGATTTTTTTTTGTTCTTGTCCTCTTCTCCAGACAATAAATGGCCCAGTTTCTGCAACATTGTGAGCTGGAATAGGCTTTTTTGCACTTCCGGTGGATTTTATATAGTAACAAATGTAGGTGGGAAAGTTGGATTTTGTGTAGCTATGAGTTTAAGGTCAATACGATATTTGCAATCTACCCAGTGAAAAAGGAAAAAAACGGGCAGACAACCAAGAAATGGAACAGTCGGAAAGCTACAAAATTTTTAAATGTTAGAGAGCTCTTAGCACAATGCTTTCAATAGCTTTTTTTGAATTATCCTCAAATAATCATTTGTTGTCACGGGTGAATTTGCTACAAAAATCTAAAAAATTATCATCGATTTCCGATTTCAACAAAAAGTACAAAATAAATTCCATATTTCAACAATGATATTTACCACGCTCTAGCCCTTTGATAACATATAAAATCAATTCAGCATTTTTACCACAAGTCGCAGTTCTACACCACAATTTTTTGCACCAAAAGAACCTTTAAATACATCATCAAAATGGCAGAGGCAAAGAAATCTCAAGATCCCTCAAGTAACTTCAATGTCTTTGTACCTTTTCTGGTCTCTGTGGATATTATTCTTTTAAAATAAACATCACAACTACCATTGTGGGTTAAAACAAAACCTTGTCGTTATCATTTACTGACTACAGTTTAAACCTGGAGAAAAGAATCAATAATCTCAGACAGTTTCTTGTTCATATTTGTGAATAAAATGCAGCCCGTTGCAAAATTTTAAACATCGTCAAATACATTTTTATTTGTAGAAACTAATTTTACAAGAACTTTCTCCAACACCAAAAGATTTCCATTCTTTTTCTTAAAACAAACCAATATAATGTGCTTACTACTTGCTAATATTCGAAAGTTCCATTGACTAATTATTTCTTCTTTTCACTAGAGTCCTCCAAAGGTTACTTGCATTGCCTGTCCCCGATAAAAATTTCAAAAGGAAACACGAGTAATATGACTTTTATTTACAAACAAGCCCGTCCAAAGTACGAAAAGTCATTGGATACCCAACAACATGGATACCTTACTGAACTCTAACAATCAAGAAATACAGTAAGTCTTAAAAATACAAAGTCAGACAATGAAGGCATCATGATCTTTAATCACGAATCAACTGCATTTGATATCCCTAGGCAAACCATCAATCTTCACTATCAAAAAACAGAAAATCTCCAGCCACCACTGTCCTCTCAAGTCAAGTCATCTCAAGTCAAGCGACACACATCCATATTCCCGAAGTGCCAACCTTGAAGCTTAGCCAGATCATAAAGACCACAGCAACCATATCATTCGGAAACCAACCCCCAAAAGCTGTTTTCTTCTTCAGAACGGGAGAAACCCTACACGTTGAAGAAGATTGTATTGCTGACGACAGCTCCGGGTCAACAGAACTTCATCTTTGGGAGCCACTTTATAATAGTATTCAGCACAACAAAATGTACCTCTTCAAAAACCTTGTTATCAAGTCTTACAAAGGTAAGAGTTGGCTTTTTCTTTCATGCTTACCATTTAAATTATTTACGTGCTTCAGTTATTATAATGTCCAAGGAACAAATCTCAGAAATCCTCGTTCACTCGATTTTTCAAGCGCTCTTATACACCTTCTATTTATATTTTGTTGACATTTTTGTATTCACCAAAAGAAGTCTCCATCTCTATCTGCTAAACTGTCTGTTAAAAAATAAATCCTCAAAAAAACCATTGCCTTAACTAACTACGTTACAAAACTATTCATATCTACTTATCAATGTTAAACAATTACATTTTTTGAAGAAATAAACAATACCATTATAATTCTTCTGATAATTCTCTGAAATATAAAATTCCTTTTTTTCAACAACCAAACATTTCATTTCAAAACTGCACCAATTTTTTTTCTACAGTACACTTTCTAGAACAAACTATCCCCACTCAATTGGTATTAACAAAACGAATTTTTTCAGTACCCAAAATCTTATAAATTTCTTATTAAAAAGCTGCACATTCCTCGTGTCCACCTTATTATTCTCATACTTGTTATTATTCTTTTGTAGGTCTAGAAATATTTTCCTTCGTTAGCAACTTGATCGTTTACATTTTCCCATTCACAGTCATTATTCTAATTATTTTTGTTTCAAGCTAGAATTCGCTAATATTTAATTTCTATATTTATAGGTGTCGCACAGCTCACTTCAAGGACTGATACTTCTTTTGAAGAGAGAAACCAGCAAGTCCACCTAATAACTGGCCACGACGTTCTTGAAGAAGAAGAAACTTAGGTCACACTTGAGTGTTTCCAGATTGTGAAAAATCTGTAAAATTTTCAAAATTTGTCAGACCTATAGCAAAAGGATGTCAGACGTTGGTAAACATACTATCAGATGTCTACAATGTAAATCGAGCCAAAGAGCCGAAATTTCAAAAAAGGAGTTTCTGTCCAGCTTAAAGTTCAAATCAACTCTGAATCCATCTGGCTTACCACATTTTGGCAGACTATAACTGAACTATTGGAAAAACTTTCATTGGAAAGTGAAGTGGAAATAATTGAAGAGGCACTTCTAGATTTTAAAAACATTACATTACTTTATAATAAAACGAACAATATCATAACAAAAGTTTTTGACGTTTCCAGTTAAATTTGAATAAAAAAATTCGCACTATTGTCATCTTCTCATACTTTCTGTACTCCTTTATCAAACCTCTTCAGCTACACGTCCTTGTAAAACATTGCGCTTCAGTAAAACCTTCAACCTCAAAACTCCACCATTTCATTTTGGATCCATCGAAAATGAAATTCTACATAAAAATAATTGGGCATACCTTTTGATCCCATGAAGAAGAAGCCATGTTTTGCAAGAAAATAGCCAGTCAGCGCATACATTTGGAGAGAGCCATAGAAAAATTAAAAAATTATAAAATACTTAATTTGATAACAGCAAATTTGAGACCTTGGTGTAACAAACGTTTGCAGACTTTTGCTGCTTTGGTAAATTTGCAATCAGCAATAATTAATGGTGTTTTTGATAAATAAATATTTCTTGTTGCTGAAAAATGAAGCAAAACATTTCGTAAACTAGTTAATACATTGTGTTAAAAATTCATTAGCATAAAAATCTTTTAACTTTGGAATGTTAGTCTCAGCCCATGATGTGCTACGGCTAACATAAATAACTTTTATTTCTCTTGTTGTCCAAACAACAAAATGTGCCTTGGTAGCATTTGCAGCTATCATTTCACCTTGAACTTGGTGCCAGTAACTGTGACTTTCATTGAGAGTTGCATCCAGGTTAAGGTAAAAGCTTGTAGATCTTTTATTTTCCACCTCTTCCTTGATAATTTCTGCAACTTTATGGTCACAATGTTTCCAAGGGCATTTTATTTCCAATACACCAACATCATTGGTTGCAACACCCTTCAAATTTATTATTCCATCTGGGGAACACCCAAGAAAACCACAAGGTAATAATATTAAACCAACAGACTTTACAGTGTTACCTGTCAGTTTGATTTATTCTTGAACAGCTTTCTCTTCATGCATCTGTCCCCACATTATCGAGTCCTTGCCAGCCAATGAATATTCACCTTTAAGTGTTTTGAATAGAGATGGTGGATATGGTTTACCATTCAACACATGTCATTGATATGCTGCAAGTATAAGCCCAAAACTGCTTCCTGTCAGGCGAAGGTACCTGTGTTTTCCCCATAAACTTGACTTGTACTGGTCTTTTGTGTTCTCAGCTAGCCAAACAATTTGCTCACTTGAGGCTGAACACATTTCAAAAAACTTATTTTGGTCTTCTTTGAATTTCCCTTTTCCAAGATTCCCGCTAATGTGATAATTTCAGTATTCATTATTCTCAAATTGAACAACCAGCGTTTTGAAGCAAACAAATTGGGAAAGTAACAAAGTTTAACGATTTGACACAAATTCTGCTTGCCTTGAGCGATAATTAGACTTTAATGATGATTAATGACACAAGAAAATTACATAAAACTTTAGAATTTCTACATTAGAATTCGATTTTATCTTCTATCACAGTGAAACGCCGTATATAAACATTCAACTCAGATCGGTTGCTACCACGTCGCCAAGGGTCGGCACAGTTAACCAATCAGATGCGATTTCCCGTTAAGGAGCGTATAGAAATTACAAGGTGAGCAAACTTATTGCTAAGGTGAGCAGGTTTGGCAGAACCATTCTTTTTTTGGTTTTTTTCTAATGTCCACACACTTGTAATGAAATTTTCGTATGCTTTCTTCTTACAAACACACCACAATTCATCACTACAAGGCATTTCTTTCTGTTTTGAATAAATATAGTTTTCGTGACAATTTTAGGCTGCACATGGTTGAAGAGAGGAACCTTAGATGCTGAAACGAAGTTGCTGCTGAAGCAGTCATCGAAAGAAACTCTTTGAATATGCTTTTCAATATATGGGCAAACAACAAAATCACAGTACTTTACTTGAAGGACAAACATTTGAAATTGTATTTGAGCCATGTATCGAGGGTTTTGCTTCAAAGAGAGAGCACTATCAAGACAGAAAGTAGGGTCTTCATTAAGAGCATTTTGAATGGCTTTCTCCTTGTTTTTGAAAGACCATTTTATTTCCAAAATTTCTCTACTACAACAAATGGGCTCTCCTTAAATCTCTGCAGCCACATGAATTCTGCCAAGTAGTCTGGTACAAGTTTGCAATTTGTTAAAGCATGCTGTGACTTGAATCTATGTTTTGCCTGTTCCTACATTGCCTCCATGTGGTTTGTGGTGGTCCTGGCGACTGGGTCGACAAAATTGTAGGTTTGTTTCACTGTTCTGTGTTAGTAGCCTATGTTCCCTACTTCGTTATATGCCTGCCACATATCTGAACATACGATGGAGGCACAACCCAAGTTTGCAGAATTATTAGTAAGGTCACGGCATCCCATCGAGTAACTGGAACCTGGAACACTTTTGTCAACCAGGTCATATCTTCCAAATATCCAGTTTTGAGGAAGAATTCTGTTGCGATTATATTTTCTCTTGCCGAACAGGCCCTCATCAATCTCAACAATGTGGCCAGGCCCGCCAATCTGTTGTGAATTGTTGAGGAAATGCTCCACACAGACGTTGTGGCAGAATTGCTTCTAAACAACCACTGTGTGTTCAATTTTAATTCCAAGTTCCTTGAGGACCTGCTTCTGCAACAGGCCCCTTGTGCACCCAGTCTAAATTCCAGATATAGGTAAGCCCTATTATTTGCCACAAATGCAGCTTGGAACCTTCAAAGAAACTCCCTTTGGGCACCATCACGTAACCCCATCCTGACATCTATTGACAGCAATCTTAATACAGTCAGCATGGCAGCGCTCACACAACATCCTTTGTGCAAGCAGCCCATTTTGCAAACACCAGGCAATTCAGAGGCGGAACTAGGGGGGGGGGTGCTGCGGGTGCTTGAGCACCAGTCAGAATTTCCCGAGACAGAACATTCAATACATCTCTTCAAATCTCTGAAAAACGTCTTGAATCCTTTTATATGATGTAAATGCATTTCACAGTAAACTTTTGACATACTGTCGTATATTAGTTAGCATAAGCTGTATCTGCTTCAAACTGTAAATGGCTATAAATTTCATTTTGAGCTGCCCAGAGCTGCAGGAGTATTTGCTGAAACCAATTTTTTCTTTCTCGGTCAAACCACACTGTCTGCCATTGAGCTACTTTGATTCCACCTGTGCTTGAGCTCAACTTCTAGGGTCAAAGTTGCAATTGAGCCAATCGCTCTGATATGTTCTTCTGGAATGTCAAGCACCCCTATCAATCAAAACAAGGCTTCGACCAATCAGTTTGCCAAATTTTGGTTCATTTGAGCACCCCTATAAATCATCATAAATACACTAGTGCACACCGTCACCACAGTGACAACAGCGGTTTGTGTAGCAGCAATGGCGGACGTAAAGTCGTTGCTGCTGCAGGTCTTTTCAATTATTCGTTGCCAGTCGATTGAAGAAGTTAAAACGAAAAATGAGCTCGTGAGAATTCAGTCAATCATGAGAGCAGTTTTTTATCAGAGCAAGGTGGATGGTGTCGTGACCTATGGGAATATGGAGATCGATGAGTTTGCTGAACTCCAATTGCCAAAGATTCAAGTACTGTCCCATGGAAGTTCTGACCTACGGCCTTCCAGGTTGGTAGTTTCCTTTACCAGGCTATTAATGCAAGGTATA